GCCTTCCGATCTTTTTAATAGCCTTTCCTATGCATACTGGCAATTATGGATCGTTTGTAAAGACATGCCAGAGATTGCGACTGTATCAACAGAATAATATTATTGTTATACTGAGATCATCCGAACTTTCGACGCTTGAAGGTTATTTCGTATCTCCTAAATGCGGTCGAAGAACGTTATCGTCATTATATACGTCACGGTTCATTCTATTCTATACACGGGTACAACTTTATCAACTATGTTATACCTTCATAGTTTCTTTCGCCGGCATACGTACAGATGAGCCAAGGCATTGGACTGTATATTTTCGTCTACTCCTATGATATACGTTTCTTTTTGTTTAATTAATGATGTAATTTTTAAATAACCCTGTTCAATTTCGGATTTGACGTTCGGATCGGAAAAAAAATGTAACAAATCAAATCATAGTTACAATTGAGCACAATTTGTACGGCTCATCGAATCATGTTGTAAACAATAAATATGGCACGTTAGTTTATCAGGATCGATCAAAGGAGAGCACCTATTTTCGTGGCACATTTTGCGGTCAATCCGATCCGATCAAGACAAGTAGATTTATAATTACTGAAAAAAAATTCTAAGTCCCCATAATTCTTAGTAAAAATGAAACGCGGAGGGAAGTGACACCGGTGACAAATTATACGTGAAATTTCGTGACATTTTTAAGCTGGGGAAACATACTGCGGCAAAGACCGAATTTATATTGAATTTATTGGATGACTTGTATTGAGATGATGGATCATTTCAAAAGCTATAAATTTTAAACCAAGTAAATTTTTTTTTTAAGAGCTGGTAATTTGATATTTTTTTAAAAAAAATAAGAACGGGAAATTTAAAAACGTTTGATGTTTTATTTCTTCTAATAAAATTGAAATATTCATTCCAGTATCCTGGTTTGCCGCTATTTTTATCACGAATGAATAGCTTTGGAACTAAGTTTTGTAAGTAATGCTAACTTAAGAAATCATTAGAATACATAAAAAGACATTTCTATTATTACTTGAAGGGCCAATCCTTCATGTCGACAATGTGATTAAACAGAAGAATTACTAATAAGTCAGACATGGATTCCCCGTGACTTCAACTATCGTAATCTGAATGTACGTTGGTTCGTTTTACAATCAACATTTAGTTATAGGATTATTGAAAAACAATGTGATTCTTACCTTCAAGGCCATTGGGTTGTTGACTAGTGACAGTAGTGTACTACTTAACTTTAAACTAAGGCATCGGATCATGGTAACATTATTTTTTGTTTAAATTTAGTTAAGATCGGAGCATGTATTCCGACAAAGACTAAGATGTCTCCGGTCATTTTGTCTTTAAAATTCAACTATAAAACCTTTAGAAGAAGTATTAATCAATTCCAATTCCTTTCAATAGCTTAGTTTCCCTTGAATTATTTGTAACGATGACGATTCTTGTATCTGATCGTACAGAGCGCCAGTACGTCTGATTAAAGTAGGATTAGCCATTTTAATTGAAAACTTAACCTTCTACTTACCTTTCTATTTCGTTTATTTAAGCATAAGAGACCTTCTGCGTCAATATGTGACGCCGGATTTTTACACGGTATGGTTACAATTTATTATTTTATTTTTATTTTATTTGCGTTGCGTCGATCAAACGATAAAAGTTTTTTTTTTGTTCTCTTTCGAATTTAAGTTGCGTGAGTTAAATAATAATAGATAAGTGTTTTTTTTTACTTCCTTTGAATTTTATTTTATTTTATTTTAGTTGTTTTTATTCCATATTCAATCGTTTCAAGAAATGCATAGGTTAAACGACAAGTAGCTATTGTTATCAATTAAAGTAAACTTTTATAAAGTAAAGCACCTAGGCATTGTATCTGAAAATTGAATAGGTGTAACTGTTGATAAGCTAACAACTTGCGTCGTCGACGAAGTCGTCGCACATCAACCTAATCTAGTTTTATATAAGAATGGCAGGTTTGGAATTGGACATATTAACTTAAATACCGTTCATATGAAAATTAAATTTAATACTGAAGAATGGTGTCCGAGGTTGTTGGATTAGCCATCAAGTAGCCCAGACCTCAAGATAATTGAAAAATTATAGGCAATTTGAAGAGGCGTGTGTAGAGAAACAGGTTTAATTTTTTGTTGGTTAAAAAAAATAATCACTATAGATATTTTTCTTCAAAAGAGTAGGAGGGAATTGAACCTGAAATTTTTATTAATTTAATTCGTAGTATGCCATTTAATTTATTGAGGGTAATGGTAAATAAGCTATTAATTAAGCTTAAACAACTTTTTTTCATAGTACAATAAATAAAAATGTGATTCCGAAAACTTTTTTCGCGCATTATACATATTATATTGATTGACAAAAAAAATTTTAATCATATCAAAATCCGGTAAATATTTTTTTTTGTCTAAAAATTTTCTGGACTTTCCATTTTTTGTCGAACGTGATTGTATAAACATCTTGATTTCGAATTTTCTTTTTTTTTTTTTAAAAAAAACATTGTATATAATGATAATGTGTTGCAAATTAAACGAATTATTAGATTTATTATAAGGTCAGATTGTCTTGAATCATGAAATAAAATTTTCCTAATAAGTATACGACAATTTTTGTTATGATTACAAATGTTTGGATCACAAAATTAATACATTCAAGAAAAGAATTGTAATTGAATTTATATTCTGGACCCAAACCGTCAATAGATTCTTTGCGCTTTCATATTGGTTGCCGTATTCAATGTGATTTTTTCTTGTATAATTTGTACATTTATTTTTGTTATACATGAAGTAGTTTGGGTTGCTATAATGAAATAAATATAAATGCGCTTTCATTTGAGACTTACAAAACTCGTTAATAATAATGACGAAATATTTTATTCTTCCTTTCGTGTTATTTCACACAATACTTCTCGCCTATGCTCAGGATAAGGTTACCTGCGAGCAGGAATTTAAACTGCAGGGAACTACATGTACACCTTGTGAACAAACTCTTCACAAATACCATTTGTTGATTAAATTCTGTCATAAAAAAACAGTTATTATCCGACAAATGCGTAATCGCTTAAATTTTACAATATCATTTAACTGAAGGAAATGCTTGCTTCCACGCCAAATAATTATTTGATCCGGTAAACGTAAATAATGCTTTAGACAAAACTTGTGCTGATACCGTAAATAATGCTTGTAGCGAAGATTATGTATAAAGTGTTATACTGAATCGATAAAACTTGTGATGCAGAATTAAATAAAAATTTCAACGGGGAACAACATCTTTGGCGACTTGGATTATATTATATCTTCGAGAACTTTTTTCTGTACTAAAATTGAGGATGGTAAGTTATTATTAATAATTTAATCTTTTTTATTTCTTTTCAAAATACTTAGAATATTATTACAGCAAATTTTTGAAAGCAGCAAATACAACTCAAACTCATCCCCAAGGTCAAGGCCAAGGTATTAATCCTTTTTTTTGATGTTACATGTGATGATAGTACCAGACAAACTCGCGATAAATTCAAAGAATTTCAAGCATCATACCCCCAAATCTCAAGATAAAATTGATGCAAAATGTGGTAAATCAAGCGCTAAATCAAATGGACATCGAATTATAAATGATTTTAGTAAATACTCTGGAATCGTAATGGGATTAGTTGTATTCTTTTATATGAACTTCTTGTAAAAGTTATCCCTTTAATTCTTTATCATCGTTTTTTTTTTTTGTTTCCTAACACATGTAATAATATAGATAGCTTAAATTTTGTGTTTATAGTGAAGCAATGTACATAATTATTTTACATTATCAATAATTTTACATTACGAAAAATACCAATAGCATTGAATGAAAATGATATTGAACCAAGAAATTTATGCAGATGCATCATAAAAGAATTTTATTCATTGTACTTCAAAATATCTTAAATACATTAAAATTAAAATAAAAAAAAATAAAATTTACATTATATGCTAAATATGATTTTTAAAGCAAAATATCAAAAAATTTGTTTTGTAGTTTCCTCCCTTTCTACTGCAAAGCACCCATAGCATAGTGATTAGACCCGTCTAAAAAACACGACCCGGGTCACCTGACGGTTGAGTGATCCGGTATTCCTTGAATTTTTCCCATTACACCCAAATGAATATATTTTATATTTTTTCCTCCACAAATTTCAACTGACTCATTATTTATGTGCTAAACAGGTTCTTTATAAAGTTACTTATGCATCAGACAAAATCCGTTTGGAGCGGATGAAGCAGATTCGAATTTGTTATTTAGATTTCCAAGAGAATATGATAGTAGTAATTTACGAAGCTATAGTTATCTCAGTAGCGCATAAAGTATTTATTTTTAGAGTTTAAGAGCATTTGCATTCATCATTTGTGCATTTCCGACCAAGCGAAAGGGTGATTAAAGATCAAAATTAATGAAATATATAGGTTTTAAAGATTATTTTTAATTAAGTTCTGGAAAATTTGCCAGAAATTGAAAATTCACACTAGAACATTTTTACTTTTAAATTTCAAATTCTCGTTTCAATGACTACGAAACATGAAATTTTAAATTTCATGAAAATTAAACTCAAATACGAGGGGCACGCTCAAGTCATTTTTTTTATTTATTAAAAAAAAAAAACTAAAATATCAAATGCAGCTATAAAAAGAGATTTTATTCAAAACTAATATTTACAAAATAAGTTTGGATGGGTTTCCAACTCTTGATTGACATTTGTTTGATTGAGAACAAAATGAGATGAAATATGTATAAGAAAAAAGTTCAATATATGACGAAAGACAATTAATCAAAGAAACTTTAAATTAGGACAAGTGGTAAATTTTAATCCGTCCCACCTATATCAATTCTTTTAAGTTGTAATAATAAAGGACCAATCTTTTGCCAATCAGCTAAATAAAGACTATCTCTAAAAGATTCTGCTCGAATTATTTTTTCAGAAATAGAAATTTGTGAGTCATCTCACACTTTAATCGTCATGTCTATTACTCCAGCAGCCGAGGATCCGTGTAACTTTTCCCTTCTCTTAATAGTTTTAATACTTCAAGTACGATATTGACACGATCTAATTTAACCTGCAAAATAGTTAATTGCTCTTTAGTTTCAAGATGTCTACCTGTTTCTTCAGTTAAATGACGTTTAGTTTCTTCAAGATCTTTATGTGCAAGATTTATTTTAATCAGGAAATGTTCAAATTGCTCTTCGGTTTGCCTGACTGCTGCTTCGGTTAAATTATTATTAATAGATTCTAATTGACGTTCTCGATCTTTATTAGAAAGATCTAATTCTGCCAGGAAAAACTCTAATTGCTCTTTGGTTTCAATATGACTAACTACTTCTTAAGATAAATTATTAGGAATGGTTTCTAATTGGCGTTTAGTTTCCTCCCGATCTTTATTAGCATTATCTAAATTACTCTTCGCAGTTGCTAATTGCTCTTTGGTTTCATGATGCCTACCTACCTCTTTGGTTAAATCATTACAAATGGTTTCTAAGTGGCGTTCTGCCTCTTCTAAATTATTCTGTGTGATTGCTAATCGCTTCTTTGTTTCACGTTGACTATCTTCTTCTTCGGTTAGATTGTTACATATGGTTTCTAACTGGAGTTTTGTTTCTTCAAAATTACACTGCGTAGTTGCTAATCGCTCTTTTGTTTCATGATGATTATCTGCTTCTTTAGTTAAATGATTACGAATTGTTTCTAATTGAAGTTTAGTTTCTTTCAATTGGGTTTTTACTGCTTTGTAAGCTTCTGTTTCTTGTCCTAACGAAGTTATTTTAACTTCTAACCGGTTTCCTAAATTTTTAATTCCTTCAATTATCTTATCCTCATTATTTTTACTATTGATAGTTTCTTTTAACCCATTTATACTTTCATTTATCTTTTCAATATTATTAATCAATTTTTCGGTTTCTTTAAAAATATATGCTTCCTTTGGAATTCTTTAATATTCATTTGGCTTCATTTATTGATATTCAAACCAAATCAGAACGCATATTCAGCCTAACCGTGGATAAAAATCTTGATGGGCGTGATTACGCCTAAAAAAGGATTAATCGAAATTAAAAGTCATACGATTGATATAAAGATAAAGGAAATTAAATTTGAAAACATAAAGCCGCCCAGAATTAATCGAATTGATGGTAACTTGGCTTGAATTATCAAGACGATACATATCACATTTCGCAAAGTTTATGTATACTTAAGAAATATCCATTCAATATTTACACTAATAACCATTTTTTTCTAAACTTTAATGAAATCGTGATAAATTTTAAGAAATATAAATACAGTAACTCGTTTTCTAAAAAAAAAGCAAGCTATTTTATGAAAGAGACAGTTAAATTTGAAATGGCAACATAAGAAGAATCCAGAGTTACTAAAAAAAGTAAAATTACGACAATTTATTAAGAAATTTATAAAAAATCTTTTTATAAGACAAAGTAACGATGTATTATAAAATAGCTTTATACATAGTTTGATTTAATTAGTTATCAGCGCACCCATCATGTGTCAAGGTTTCACTTTTAATAGGTGATCTTGCAGTTTCGCGATATTATGCAAAATCGATTACAATTTTTTTTTAATGATTTATATATTTATTTGACATTGTAACTATTTTTTTGCAATATATTTTAATAAATTGAATAAAATAAATGCTTAAATACTGTACATTAAACATGAAAGGTTACTAACAAGCTGAAAAATAGAAAACATTTTATGAAATAATGTTTTGTTCGAATCTACTATTCAAGCTTGTAAATGAAATAAGCAGTATCAATCTTTGATAAATAATACTTAGTTTTTTAACTATTTTATAGATTTATATTCAAAAATAAATAATAAATAAAGAAATAGTTGCTTGTTCAAAATTTTTAAGTAATAAAAATTTATGTGTTATTCATGTTGATTGGAATTTAGTTTTGCTATAGCATTATTTTATTTGAAAAATTAGGCGATAAATTACTCATTCATCAGAATTTTATCAAGTCAAATACTTTTGAAATGCAATAATTTCAGAAGATATATGATAGCCAATAAGGTTGCCGAGCAAAACCCGGAGGTTTCGACAGGCATCGAAATCGAAACCCATCGAAACGTTTTGCCAAATTTTTTTCTTAAAGGCA